CATATTGCAGACCAAAACCAGGATAGAAAAGTACTACATTCAAACGTAAGGTTTAGAGTTATTCTCCCAAAAGCAAATGCAGTATTTTTTTAAAATTTCTTTTTTCTTTAAAAGATGAAAGAAGGGGACCGGTGAGATAGCTTAGAGGATTAAACATCTGCTTTTCAAGCCCAGAGAACAGCGTTCAGTCCTTGGTCCTGCATGTTGTGCCAGCCCTACCCCAGGGGTGTGCTGAGTCTGCAACTGAGACTGGGCATGGTGACGCACACCCCGTGCTACAGAGGCAACCAGAGTAAGCCCAGCTCTGGGGAGGTTGAAAACGGCAGGATCACTAGCAGTCCGCGCTGCATAGTGAGACCCTGGACCAAGTACATACAAATGATGAAAAATAAAAAAAATAATAAAAAAGGGTAAAAGAAGGAAGATATATACATGTGACCTATAAAAAACCAAAAGAGTAAACACAGTATTTCAACAATATTTAAAATAATCTGTTATATTAAATTTAGATAAAATTAAAACAAATATATACTTTTATTATTTATCCACTCAGTATTTCTAAAGTTTATTGTTAGGCATCACTGTATTCTAAAAGTGAAGTAGAATGGTGTCTAAGTGGATTTATTGTCTCCTTCTGATGAAAATTGATATTTTTGGGATGGAGGAGTTGGTAGAAGACACGAATGTCACATTGTGTGTGTGTGTGTGTGTGTGTGTGTGTGTGTGAGTTTGTGTTAACGAAAATCTAGGAAGCTAATGAGTATTCCTGTTGGTTCACAGGGCAGGTGAGCTGTCCAGGTTCTCCTGAATGTCACAACAAGTTCTGTTAGTTCTGCTGTTCCGATCCTGAGCATGTCAATGATTCTGTGGCTGTCCAGAGAACAAAAAGACAGGCATTGTTCTAACAACTCTCTCTTGCCCCTTGATCTAAATTTCACCAAATACAATGCAGCAAAAAAATACCCCCAAATGCTTACTGAAAAGGGACCCAGCTTTCACTCCTCAGACAACAACAGTTAAGGACCTGGTAACCCTGCCTCCCTTCCCTGTGCTCCCATGAAAAGACCGGGCCATTCCATTAGGAAATCAGTGAGATGAATCGCAATGAAAACCCATGAAATTCTGCCAGGACTCAGCAAAGGCCGTGAATAGCCCAGCTGAAAAGTTGAATTTCTTGTTTTCCTTCCTGTGTGGCCCTCTTTGAAAAGCCAAGGAAAATGGTGCATTTTGCTCTTTGGAAAACCCCTCCCAGGGCGTGAGCAGCTGCCAGCCTACAGGTTCATCTTAGGTAAATGAAGCTACAGAGGCAAATAGAGTAAGCTCGCTGGAAGGTAAGTTGGAAAATAAGCGTGAAGCAACGTGGGAGGCTCCCTTGCAAACGGAGTGACAGTAATGTAAAAGCCTATTTCACAAAAAAGTAGCAGCTTCAGTGCTCAGCGTCCTGGAGTGCTAAAACAAATACACTTAAGCATACGACACTCGAAGAGAGCGTCAGAATTTCTTTTTTCATTTCTGTATTTGGCACAGGGTCTCACTACGCAGCTTGGACTCATAATCAGCCTCCTGTTTGCAGCCTCCTCAGTGTTGGGATTACAGGCATGCTCCACCACACCTGGACTAGGCCGCCGGCTCAGGTCGGCAGCTCAGCACACCTGGTGGGGGGCCTGGGGCGGGCGCAGCATACTTGACAGGAGATTGAACCCCGGTCCCTGCCCTTGCCAAAACAGGTGCTTAGTCTGCTGAGCTATCTCGTCGGCCCAAGAACAATTTTCAAAAGGCTAGCCAAGTTTTACTCACGTTCAATGTTAGGGAATACTCACATCCTACAATAACTCTGAGTAAAGGTAGCTCTCTGATTTCACAAAACTCTCAACTGTGCTTGTGGAAGTGAATCCCGAAATAAAGATTCACAGCTTGGGAGTTATTCAAAAATAGTAGAAGAAAGGTTGTCTGAAATGGGATGGAAAGTTTCACAGCAGGTGCGGTAGGCTTGCGCCACACACAGGGAACCAAGGGGCTGGTGGACGGCAAAGTGTTCTCTCACTTGTGTTTTGTGCTTTCTTCCACTGCTCAGTGGAGCTGGGTGGCACTTTGAGCTTCATAGAAGTCTCCCACGGGCGAACACTGTGTGTTTTAATTTCACACCATGATCAAACTGACAATTTGTCATGTTCGGCTATTTTCCTGAGGTAGCGAGTGCATTGGAACTTCCTTGCATTTTCAAGACAAGTATTATGGCAAGTTAACTGAATATCTCAGATTCTAAACTACTTGTTATATTAATACTCAAAAGTGAAGAGTTAAGGTTTCTCTCAAAGTTTGTGGGCACTTCCAAAGAGTTGTTTGGACTTACGTAATTAGACATAAAATCTTACTGTGGCATTTTTTTTTTTTTTACCTGTCCACAAGGATAATATTTAGCTCCTTAAAGTGTAGAGCTGTAAATGTAGCTTGTTCAGGAACTTTTATGCTTATGTGATGTCATACCCTACTGCCTACATTGTGTTATCCTTCTAAAATATTTTCCATCTTCTCTCTCAGGGTCCGGTTTATAATTGTTCCATTTGCTGCAGATCTTGTTCTCTACATTCTGCTCATACCGACGTACCACTGTGAATGCTACTGAAAACATATCTAGCAATTATTTACCCTTGCCGAGTGCTTTACTGGTTGTTTGGTTGAACTGAGAGTTTATTACCTTTGGAAAGTTTTTCTCTCTTTCCAATTGGGTAGTAGTGGTTTAGTTACAAAGGTAAAATTCCTCAAGGAAATGCTTTTCAGCATTGTCTACCTGGCCTTCCAACAGTGTGCAGAGTTCAGAATATTCTCTGTCTAGGAATTTTACACTCTTTGGAAAGCGTTTTACAAGGATCTAATATAAATACAAAACAGCAGGAGCATCCAGGGCATACTTGACCTCTTCTTCGTCATGTTTTTAACAATAACCTTACAAAACAATCTATAAAACATCCCCATGTATGTCCACCAAGTTTCTTCTTGTAAACATCCCTTCCTTGATTAAATTGATTCCTGAGGAATCGGCCAAGGCAACCAGTACCAAAGGTCATTTTCAAAACTTCCTGTGCCCCTGAAAATGTTTTGTGTCCATAGCACACATTCACTGTGCCGTGACTGATGAATACTAGTATTACGTCAAAACAGAAACAGGACCAAGATAAAAAGAAGGGGAAATCCCACCAGCTCTCCAGAAGCAAATCAATACGGGCTTCTCAAAATAAAAGAAAGCTGAGTTTGAAAGAATTCACTAAGACACCCAGTCTCTTGGCATTTTGTCCTAAAGCCTACAGAGAGAAAGCAACAGGAAGTTGTGCCACCCGGGGACAGAGGCTGTGAATTTATCTAGACAGGATGACAGATGGGGAACGCGGAAAGAGCCCAGGATTAGGATCAAAAAGGAAAAAAAAAGCAAGCAGAGGAAAAGGCTTTTTAGTCCTAACAAACTTACCAAATAGTATCACTTTTCCATTT